CATGTCCTTTAAACCGGCAGCTGGGTTTTGGAGTTCAGAGAGTTAACATTTTAAATCACATCTCAGTCTGTGCGTCTTATTCAGAACTCACAGCGTTCTAACTGAGCGACTGCTGGATGATGTGAAACACTCAGCAGCTGTGAACGTGTGAATCTGCATCATCACATCATATGACAGGAAGCAGCAGCCGGTGCTAAAGACTGAATGAAGTGTCCAATAACAACACGTGAGCGTATCGCGCATGAACGTGTTTAAAAAGCACCTTCAGTGGGTTAGCAGCGTTTAGGGAGGATGAGCCATCGGTTCATCTCAAACCTCAGATGACTCGCTGCAGATCAGCGTAATGTCTCAGTAGATGTGATGAACGCTGACGTTCATGCTGCCTCCACTCCTCAGATGAGCGCAGGTTGTAAATAACTCCGTGAACGTGTTGAATCGGAGGTTTCTGAGGACAAACGACTCGCTGTTCGCTCAGCTCCTCTCAGATCTGTAACCACTTCAGCCTTCATTCAGTCGCCTGCACGTCTCCACAGGTCATCGTGGAATTAAAGGCGATCACATGAAGGCGGCCAGCGGGTCACGGGCCGCCTGACAAACCGGCGACTCGAGACTCGGGCTCACGCTGCCTGGAGGCGCCGTGAAGCAGAGATTAGCTGCTAAATGAGGCGACTGTGGGGCTCGTTAAAGATGCCCGTGTCGGTGCGTTCATGTGTTCGCCCGGCGGCCCGAGGGGGCGTCACATGCGGCGCGTACGTTGACGACACACTGCCGCTCATTCAGGTCGGCTCACGGCCTGAAACCAGCACAACACATGACTCAGCGGTTCAGAGGCGACGGGTGGGAAAAAGGCTTCTGGTGTCAGTGACAAACAAACAGCACAGAGGGAAACGACAAAGTGCTTCTACACGTTATTACAGTCATTTATGTTGTAAAGAGATAACTAAATTTATTTCACCAAATGAAATGTTTTGATTATAAAATTATATAAAGATTAAGACAATACAATATTTCTATATTACACAAATTTACTACTTTAAAAAGTTAATAAATTACAATATTATCCACCAATATTATTTATTTTTGTGAAGTAAATTTCTATAATATTTAACAGTGTATTGCCTTTATTATTATATCCTAAACAACTTTTTTTTTTAAATTACAAATGAAATACTAATTATTTCAATATTAAATATTCATATAAATTCAAATACATTAAACATTAAGGTTGAGACGCCACTTTGTAAAGTCATATTTAATTTTGTAAATTGGTGTTTAAAAATTTACGGCACAAAACGAAATATTTAGGTTAAGATGCTACAATATTAATTTATTACAAAAATTTAATTTACAAAAAAAAATCTTAGGGACCAACAGTAGTTATATGGTATTAAAAAATAACAAATAAATTCAACATGAAGGACAAAAAGCTGCAATAGTTCTATATTTTACTAATTTACACGGCTAATATCAATAAATAATATTAATTTTAAATGATCTAATTCTACTAGTTGTAACAAAAGCTATTTTTCAGAGTGTTGGTCGGACAAAATGTGTTGTTTTATGCTTCATGATGAGCATTTATTCTGATTTTCTGATATTTTATAGACCAAACTCTAAACTGTGCATCTAATGAAGGAACATTTAGATCCGCTTGTGATGAAAAATAATCTTCGCTGCAGCCTTAGAATGAATAAATGAAGCAAACAGGCGGACAGTGAGATGAGATTTGAATGTTTGAATCTCCTTTAGAGGTCACAACACTCATACTAATGTATCCGTGGGCCCTGTTGAGTCCTTACGTTGGCCAGGTAGTCCCTCTCCCAGGCCCGGCCCACGCCCCAGTCCTTCCTCTCTCCGCTCAGAGCCGACAGAGCCGCCACTTTGGCCCGAACCTCCAGCATGTCAGACGGGGGGATGTTCTTGACGATCTGCCTCGCCCACCACCTGACAGGAAGACGACAGCGCGTGGGTGGACTTTTACTTTGAAGGTGCACAAAGAGAACAGTACAGTCGGAGGCTTTGAGTCAGCGAAGGATAAAAATAGACTTCAAATCAAAACACGTCCTCGTTGATCCCAAAGTCAGGAACACACCCAAACATGAGTTCATGTTCTTCTGCTGCTGCCGAGGATCTGATGACCTGGTTTATTGTGGATTTACTGTGACTTCACTGGTTTGTTCAATCACAAGTTAAAAAAAAGGCCAAACCTGTAAATAGTTTCCACATCGAAGGTAGAAATAGCGATGAGCTCTTGTACCATGTGTGACCGTATATTAACAGTTTTATGTTTTATTCCGACATCAAAAACTGTCTCCTGAATATAGAAATAACACAAAAATAATAAAAGAAAATAATTATATTCCTATATTCAAAAATGATTTCTGAACGCAGGAAAAACATTAAAAAATTATTTCATTCTTATATTCAAAACAGAATTCTAAATATAGGAATGATCTGAAAGCGTAAACAAACCATTTTTTTCTGTATTTTAAAAAGTGATTTCTTAATAAAGTAAAAATATAAAATATTTAAAAATCATTTTATCCCTATATTTAAAACCGATTTCTGAATATAAGAATAGCATAACATAATACATTAAAACCAATTTATTAGTATTTTTAAAACGAATTAAGAATATTGGATAAATGTGAAATAAAACAAAATAAATTAAAAACAAAGTGGTGAATATAGGAATAACATATAATAATGTAAAATGATCAAATAAAACCATTTTACTCCTATTTTTAAAACTGATTTCTGAATATAAAATAATACAAAACAATTTTTAAAAAATAATTCTATTCCTATATTAGAAACTGATTCCTGAATATACCAACAATATAAAATAACTTAAAATAATTTACTAAAATAATTTATTTCTATATTCAAAACTGATTTCTGAATATAGGAATACTCTAAAATCATTATATAAAAAAATACTCCTATACATTAAAAACAAATTTCCTAATATAGGACGAACATAAAGTTAATGTAAATAGTAATTGTTTTTTTTATTCAGAAATTCGTTTTGAATATAGGAAGAACATGTAATAATGTAAAATGAATAAAATAAAAGCATTTGTTCCTATTTTTAAAACTGATTTATGAATATTAAATAATATAAAACACATTTTTTTTTAAAATTTAATTCCCATATTCAAAGCTGGTTTCTGAATATAAGAACAATTTAAAATAACTTCAAATAAAACAATTTATTTCTATATTTAAAACTGATTTCTGAATGTAGGAATAACATAAAAATAATATAAAACAATGCAAAATAATGAAATAAAAGCATCTTATTTGTACATCAGAAACTGCTCTGTGCTTCTTTTCAGCAGCAGCGTCTCTGAAGTCAAACAGGCTTAAGGAGGTTGATTCAACACTCTGCACCGCCTCAGCCTGTATCTGCGGCTCTGACCTGCGATGCAGCGTCACCGTGATGTCGTGAAACTGGGACAGCGCTGCAGGCGGCGTCGGCCACTCCACGCTCTTCCCGTAGTCGGCCATCGTCCGGACGCTGGCGAAGCGGCGCTCCACCTCCCAGAAGTGGGCCTTGACCTTGTAGCGCTTGTAGCAGCCCATGATGGTGTAGATGGCCCTCATCCGCCGGCACCGGCGCCGGGCCAGAGCGCCCCGCCACACCTGGACTCACAGAACAGGGACAAACTGGTGCTCTAGTTACAGCCAGACTCCTCCACAGGACTCAAAGTAGGTCAGGGAGGAGAGAACCGCCAAGTGTGTTTCACTGAGCAAGAGCAGTAATTGACTTTAATGTAACTGAGCCGAGGATCTCATTAATTATCCCAATTATTGTTACAGGAAATTAGGATTCAAGCTGGCAGATGAGTTTCAGCCCAACACGACCAGGAGCCATGTATTCATGAGACAAACCATCATCTCTGCTCTGGAAACTGCTCAAGATCACGTAGCTGCAGCACAGGGCTTTAAATTAGGTCTCAGATTAAAGTTTACATCAGTCGCCTTCAGAATAAAAGCACTGATCTCCCAACAGCGGTCGAGATCAGCTTCAGTCGTGGTTTAACACAGACAACAGCACATATAAAGCTGGTTTGTTCTCATACATTTTCACAGTTATTGTTACAAAAAATAAACATTTTAAAAGTAAAATTAATTTCAGTCTCAGATGAGGTTTCAGATCAATATATCCCTTTCAAAATAAAAGCACTGATCTACAAACGGCTGTAGAGATCAAATAATTAGCCTCTCAAATCTGCTTTGGTTGTGGTTTAACGCTGATATTGATGACAGCAGAATAACAGTAAATATTGAGCTGTTTTGCTCATTAATTATCCGTCTTATTGTTCCAGAAAATAAGGATTCAAGCCGGCAGATGAGTTTCAGTTTTGTAAATAAACACTCATGAGACAAACTGTCGTCTCTGATCTGGAAACTGGAGGAAATCATGTGACTGCAGAACATGATCTGATCAGGAAAATGAAGTGAAAATGTACTCTTGGTCAGATTAGGTGTCAGAGCAATGCATCCCCTTCAAAATAAGAGCACTGATTTCCAAACCGCTGAGTTAAAAGATTGAGCTTCTCAGATCAGCTTTGGTTGTGGTTTAATGCTGATGACAGCAGGACAACAGTAGATATAAAGCTGTTGGTCTCATACATTTCCCCAGTTTTCTTACAGAAAATTTAGATTTAATAGATTTAAATTAAATCAGTGCTCAGATTAAATCTGTTTATTGTTTGTTTGTGCATCATGTACCTGCTTTAGATCAGGTTTTGATTTTGTTTGGCTGCTACCGTGGCCTGGTTTCCCTTCTAAAAGGGATTTCTAATGTCAATGGGACTTCCTGGTTAAATAAAGGTAATCAAAATAAACAAAAAGTACATGCTCTTCAAAATAAAAGCACTGATTTCAAAACAGCTGCAGGGATCAAAAATTCAAAATCAGAATAATTGCAGCTTTCTGATTTTCTGCTGCCGTTGCACTCATTGCACACAGAACATTTTAATTTACTTATTTCACTTCATGTTTTTACGGATATTTGTACACTTTATGGTGCATTTTTACTTTATTCTATATATATTTATATATATAATTTTATTTATTTATTTTTAACCTTACTTTACAGGATATTTCTTCTTATTTCTTTCTACTTCCTATTGTTTCTATTTCACTCTATCCCAACAGTAAGTAGTGAAGACGTTTCAGTTTCCTGACCTTCTGCAGGAACAGCACCAGGATGGGGATGAGGGCGGCCCTCTCCTGCTCCAGGCTGAACAGCGACCGCGGCGTTCGTACGAACAGCTTGGTGTGTCCGTACGCCACGTCGTCCTGGAAACCGTGCTGGGTGACGATGGCCTCGACGGCCTCCCGGTCGGAGCCCATCAGGTGGTTCGGCCAGGTGTACTCACAGGTCATCTTATACCTGAGCAGTTATGAGAACAAGAGCAGTTCAGCTGAATACTCTGAATTTTTACTGCGTGACCGTTTTCCACAGCTGAGCCACTAACAGCTTGACGGTTGTATAAAGGAGCACAGAATTTTTTGTTTTTCAAAGAATCCAGTTAAAGTACGTTAATTATTTTGGTGATTTTTTAATCGGGACGTGTGGAATAAACTGACTGTGATGAAATGTCGCTGTTCGAAGCTTTATAATAATAATATAATTATAATTTCAGAGCTGTTTTCACAGTTTCTGGCTCCACTGAATGATGTCATTTTGATGATTTTTGTAAATATATCGTACTTGTGCATTTATTTTGTTACTGATAATAATCTACATACTCCTTCAAAATGAGCTATGAGGTAAATTTCTTCATCTATCAATACAAAACAACCCTACATTGTTTTCCTCCTTTAACAGAACCAGTGCAGGTTCTCTGCTGCTAAATGTATATTTTATACTCATCACACTGAGCTGCCAAAGACACAGAAAACAGCCTTTTTGTGAACTCGTCTTGTCTTTGTCTCACCGCTGCAGGAAGCGAGCGTAATGCTGCCTGTAGGCGAAGCCCGCCCTGCGGACCATCACGTTCTCCAGCAGGCCCAGGTAGGCCACCTGGTGCTGGCAGCGGGCGTCGTCGAACAGCACCGGGGACTTCATCTCGTTGGGTTTGATGCAGCGAACGTAATACGGCTCCTGGAGAAAAGAAAAAAACAAAGCAGAGGACACGCTCAGCTGAAAGGTTTATTTTTTAATTTACTGTTTAACTGACTTGTGTGTCGGTTTATAGACGATATTCTCTTTCTTCACTTTTACTCACATGATCACACACAGATGATGACAGACGGTTACACAGGAGGTACAACAAGACGAGTGTTTTCTGTTAACAACGCTGCTCACATGCGATCTGCAATCTCCTGCTCGTATTTATTCCAGTTTATTGGATCTCATCACCTCCTCGCTGCACTGTGTATATTTTGCCTCTTTTGTATAAGTTTAGAATTCTTCATACGGTCTCGTCTTACATGTACATTTGGTTTTATTATTTTTGATTGTTAATTTAGCTGGTTCAATGCACCGTCCAGAGGCAGCGACTTTCTTCATGCCCCCATGTATGATGAAATTATTCTATTCTATTCTGTTCTATTCTATTCTATTCCATTCTATTCTATTCTATTCTAATCCAGCCGCTCTGCGTTACATGTGATGACTTTACTGTTGAGCTGTGAGAGTTTCAGCTGATTATCTTGTCCTACAAACGGTGATACCTGCATCTGAACTCCATATTACTATAATATACGGTACGCCAGATAAAGGTTCAGTACTTCCTTGTACACAGTACGTCAGAAATACCAGCATGTTCTATGACATTGTGCAAATCAGTGAGCTTTAAGCCAATCAGACCCTCGGCACAACTGAGTTGTTCCGTCTAAAATCAATCAAATTTCAAGAAAGAAGCCATCTCTGATTTATGCAATCTAGTAATGTTGTTGTTATTGTGGGAAAATCACTTTTTTCTCCATTTTTGTGACCCAGAATTTCCTATTAAAAAGTATTTTGTATGTTGTGTTCCTACTGTAACATGCTGAGTACGTCCATGGTACACATACAGGCGTCCTCAGATGTATTCATCTCCTTCCATTAAAGAAAAGGCAAAACTCACAACAGTCACTCAAATAACTAGAAAATGGAAAAAGTAATAATAAATAAAAATTTGCTAAATTATAATTTAGTGAACCAAGATGTTTTTTTTAATTGTGGTTAAAAAGAATAATTTAAAAAAAAAAAAAACTGTCCTGGACCAATGAGAGCCCTTTGCTGATGTTCAACTAAATAGCAGCTCATAGGTCCCATCATGCTGGTTTGTTGTGGGTTTTTTTTTATATTCCTGTTTAACCACAATTCAAAAGCAACGTCATGATGTTCATTAAATGTTTATTTATGATTACTTTCGTCAGTTTCAAGGTTTTTTCAGTGACTGAAGCTGGTTTTTCCTTCTGTAATGGGAGGCTGTGAACACATCTGAGGCCCTTCACTGCTTCTCCTGGTTCAATGGTAAACTGCATTCATGTGTTCTGCAGTGACAATAAAGTCGAATCTAACCTACAACACTTTGCAAGAGCAGCTGCAGCACTTAAAGTCTTGTTTTATCACCTGCACTAACTCGCATCGGCCTCCTCGTTGTTGTTCTGGCTGCTGCGCTCGTCGCTGTGTGAGTAAATAAACCCAGCTCAGGCCGCGAACCGTCACCGAGCTGCTAAACTGGCAAACGAGTTCAGTGACCTCGATGGGAGTATCGCAACAGACGCTGCAGCTGAGCCTCGCGACAACATCCGGCACGTGAACGTATGAACGGCACGCTGAAGCCCACGTGACGCCGCCAAGACGACGAGGCTGAGCTCCGGCGACTCGACAGGTTTCTCCGAGGACACGACGTCCTGTCAGAGAACTGCTGTGTTCTCATCGTCTGAAGCTCTCCGTCCAGGAAAGATGAACAAGGTGGAACAAAGTGAGCAGCTCCCGACACCCATCGCATCAGTGATGGATGTCGGGAGCTCTTTTGCTCTTTTGTTCCCGGTCCGATCCGAGTCTTTTGATACCATCTTCCCAGATAATACACACCTACATTAGACAATCAGTCCAGTGTATCTGCTTCACAACTGAACAGTTCTGCAATGCATGAAGAAAAACACTGTCTTTCTGCCTCCAGTGTGTTGCTTAATGTTCTGTAGGTGTTTAGGAGCCTTAGCAGGAAGTGTAGAGTTGGAGTTTAGGATGTACGGAGGCTCCACAAACTTCACTAAGGCTCCAAATGTCAGTTCTGATCTTTGAGGTGGGAGCAGGACGTCTATGAGCACGTGTTGCTTCCAGTTTCAACTCTGCTGGGATTTGAGGAACGAGTCCATTCGTGGTGCTTCTGTGCAGCAGCTGAAGACAGAAAATGTTGCTTTCATTTTGCCTCTGACACTCTAAGACGAGAAGCTGCAGGCGCCTGACAGCAGGACATCCCAGAACAACAGCACAAATGTCAGATGTGGAGGCCGGCGGAGGTGAGCAGCTCATCCATCGCCTCGCTGACACAGTGAAGAGCACGGCGCTGCGTCGACGTCTTAACGCCGGGCGGCTTCCTGCCGGCTCGTCGTGCAGCGAGATGAAGACGTGGCGGCCTGAGAAGAGGCTCACGCAGCTTTACAGGAACCAGAACCGCCAACACGCTGCTGCACAGCGTGTTCTGGATGTCAGCAACAGAGCAAAGCCGAGCTACGCTGAGGCTAAACGCTCACTGTTGAACCGAAGTACAAGCGAGAGATCAAATCTGCAGCGGATCTGATGTCAGACATGTTCTGCTACACAAAGTCCAAACACAGTCGATGCACCAAAGAGCTGAACATTTACAGTAGACCCCGGACTATAAGCCGCTACTTTTTCCACACACCTTGAACACTGCAGCTTAAACAACGATGCAGCTAATTTATGGATTTTTACGAATTCGCCTCGAGACCAAAGTGACGCTGAGAGCGACAACGACAGAGAGACTGAGGAAGTGATGAAGTGATTCTGAGGCTGTTCAGCTCCTGAAGACACTGAAGAAGACGACTTTAGTGGTTTTAGTGCAGGAGGAAGATGAAGATAGCCATCAATGACTTTTCCTGGTAGCTGCTGGAGTTTTATTTCCTTAACCAGCCGTGTTACAGGAAGTGTTCAGAAAAAAGCATCTACGATACGTATTTAATTAAAAGTTTAAAACATCTTTCTGTGTAAATATCTCATGTTCCAACGTGGACACCTGCAGCTTAGAGACCAGAGCGGCCTGTATATGTACACACCTGGTTTCCTGTTTAGAGTCAGTGGGTGGAGCTGATATTCAGGTGCCTGATTAGTCCGGACTTTACGGTAATGATGTGTGATTTTTCTTCTCACCTCTGTATCATTGCCAGCATTATTTTTTTCATATTTTAGGGATGTATTGTACTTTTATCTTATTGCTTTTCTACTTTTTAGGCACTCAATTTCTCATGTCATCTTTTTTTTTTTTTTTTCTAAACAACATCTGGCACGAGAATTTTCTACAGAATTAATCTATTTTTTCTTTTCATATCTTAATTGATGCCAAATTTGAAACAAAAATGAAAAAAAAGCTGCAATTTAGGACAAAACAACCGAAAGATACAGATTTTTAGCAAAATCCACTACAGGAACTGTGTTTTTTTATTTATTAGGCTGCTCATTTACTTCAGTGTGTTCATGCCACTCCTGCAAATATCACAAAAATAAGTCCTGATAAAACGTCCTGTAATGATCGATTCAGTAAATAAGAAAAATGGCTCGACTAGATTCATCCTGACAGATCTGTTTCAGCTTTAGCTCAGAGGGAGATAGATTTATGGCGTTAGCAGACTGAACACCTTTCTCTCCATTTCACTGTGTGCATTTTTTAAACATTATTCTTGTAGGAATCATATGAGGAAGCTGTTTTCAGTCCCATGGCAGCAGAAAGGACTGACCTTGCAGGCCAGTTTGTCAACCAGAGCCACAATGGAGTTCTTGAAGAGGGTGGCGGCGGTCAGAGGTCGCTTGGTGACCTCGGTGATGCTCAGCTGACCATCTGGCCACATCTCCTTCAGGACCGGGTCGGAGCTAGAAAAGGAGGGCAAAGAGCAGAGAAAGGACAGCGGTAACTGGGCCGGCACGAAGCACAAACTCATTTATACACTTGACCCAGATCTTGGACTGTCAGGAGCGTCGTTATGTCGACTGTATTTGGCACCTGTTGTACATGAGGCGCTTGAAATCTTGGAAAAGCAGGTCCTTGTTCTTGTCCAGAAAGCCCTCGACAGAGTATCTGCAACAGAGGGAATGGAGAGAAGGAGTTCAGCAGGAGGGGAGGACGAGTCGTACAAAGAAGAAGCTGCGATTACAAGAAAGGGACAAAGTTTGAGCTGCGAATGATTCACAGTCTGCAGGCGAAGGGATTACAGCGCCGCTCACGCCGCTCAGCTCACTTACAAATTAGAAACACGGTCAAGTTTTTAGCCTGCGGCTCGGGTTTGGTTTAAATAAAAGAAAAACGAGCGGGCTGGCTTGGTTGAGATGCACCTCGGCGGGAGGTCACGGTTACGTAAAGCGGGATGCAGCCTGCAGGATGTCGGAGGACGAACCTCGCTCACCGCAGAGCAACGACCTGGAACGACTCTAACAGATGCATTAACACTGTGGTGAAGGACGGAGTTAGCACGAGGTGACGCAGCAAGACAAATAGCCCACGACACAAACACAACACCTGCATTCATACATAGAGAAATATCCAAATGGAAGCAAAGGAAGCTGGAGTGAGTGATGCTCTACTGTACATTACATTACTAGAAAGGTAATACTAAGAAGTAGTATTCTTTAAAACTATTTTTTATCATCCTAATATTTGTGTTAGAAAAGGGGGCAGTGAGAGCTCAGTTTGACTGCTGGTCAGAAGGTTGGAGGTTCAAACCTCAGCACCTCTTAGCTGTCAGACAAGGCTCAGCTTAACGTTGTTGTACTGTAGTGTGTGGAGGAGTCGTAGGTGTCTCAGTGGCCTCCTTCACTCGTCTCCTTCTAGTAACTCCTTCAGAGGAGTCATAGGAGTCTTGGTGGCCTCCTTCACTAGTTTCCTTCTTATAACTCCTTCAGAGGAGTCATAGGAGTCTTGGTGGCCTCCTTCACTCGTCTCCTTCTAGTAACTCCTTCAGAGGAGTCGTAGGAGTCTTGGTGGCCTCCTTCACTTGTCTCCTTCTTGCTCGGTCACTCAGTCTCTGAGGACGTCCTGCTCTAGTCAGATCTACTCGTGTTCCATTGTCCTTCCATTTCTTAATGATAGATTTAACTGGACTCCAGAGACATTCAGTAAATGTTCTTATATCGTCTCATGATTGATGCTTCCTTGAAAACCTTTGCCCAGAGTTTCTTGGAGGGTTCTTCAGTCTTCATGGTGTAGTTCTATCCAGGAGTGCTGATCCACCAGGACCGGACTGGACCGTCCAGACACTGGAGTCTTTATACTACAATCACTGAGACACTTTCACTGATGAGCTTTATTTACTAATTATGTGACTTCTAGCACCAACTGGCTGAGTTGAATCAGGTGAGTCACCTTAAAGGAGGTGAACACTGTTTCATGTTTGTAATAAACTGACATTACTTTGTGGGCGTCTGTTTCATTTTGACATTAAGGATTCTGCTTTTGTAAATTAAACTGACCATCATTAACTGTTGGGAAGCGATAAAAAGGGTGAAACTTCCAACGAAGGTCAATGCTTTTTATAGGCAGTGCACCTACAGACTGTCATGCTCGCTCTCTTCTCGCCCTCCCTTCCCAACAAAGTGAAAACGCAGCGTGTCACATGTCGTCTGCATGTCTCTGGCCGTGTCCTCGGCTGTCACATCTGGAGGCAAAGGAGGCTGCCGATGACAGATGTGTCCTCTTGGCTCACGAAGCCACCTGACCCGGGAAGCCGAGTGTGAAAGGAAACGGGCGGGCAGTCAGAACACACAATAACAAGCCTCGTTGGCAAGGACAGGACGGGACAGATGCTGGGACGGGAACGGACGGGAGAGGACATGCAGAGATAGCAGCAGCTGCCCCCCAGAGACCAGAGCGTGATTGAGAGGGAAGTATATTTATGTATGAAGGTCAAGGAGAGGGCTGAGCACAAGGTGGGAGCACATCGAGAGAGCCGGGCGACCAAGACGTCTTGCAGCATGAAGCCGAGGGTGTGTTGTACATCCTCCCTCAAAGTGCTGCATGTGCAGGTTGGAACACTGCAGGGAATTAGAAGTGGCAGAGAGAGGCAGGTGAAGGCTGCAGCGGCGAGGAAGGAAGCCGAAGTAGGTCAGAGAAAGGGGGCCGGCGGGCGCTGAGGACGAGGGTATATTTAGTCAGGATAGACTGAGATGGGACGGGACAGGGGACGGTGCCACCAGGAAGCAGAATACGAGAGGTGACAGCTCGCCGGGAGAGACGAAGACGTGGCCGAGTGATGGTGACGGAGGCGGCCATCTGTCA